ACGACATTTTTCTTACCCTTGAAATTTATTATCGTTTCAAATTTTGTACATTTTCAAGATTTTTTCGCTCCCCCGGCCCCTAGATTAAATTTGTCCAATCATTTGCAGCCTTTATCAGTTTCCTCGACGATTCTGCAATTTTTACGACTTTCCAAATTTTCGACACTCTCAATTTTCAAAATTTTGCCATTCGAGATATTTCGAGATTTCACCTATAAAAAAAGATTGAATGCAATAAGAAAAAAAAAATTGAATTTGCAGAATTTATATTTAAATTCAAATTGAATGTAAAATCGGTAAAATACATTTTTCCCCATCTTTTTTATTTATTCTTCATAAATCGGATAAATATATAGAATTGACCAATATATTATAGATAAAATATCTAGAGCACAAAGTACTCTATTTTTCCACATTTATCTCATTTATACACAATGCCGATTTCCATTTGGGCCGCATTGTCAGTTGAGAGGATAAACATTGAGTTTTTTGAGTGGTATCGTTTGTTGACTGATGAATAAACAATGGAGGACTGCATTAGTGATACTAATGAATATGAAAATCAATGGTACGATAGCAAAGACCCAAGAACTTGAATTCTCTCCTCACGTTCACGCCATTTGACACGCTCCACCACCAGATAAATAAGGGAGATCCTTTTATCGCTTCCTTAAAGCTCAGTCTCACATCATCGATCTATAGGAGAAAAAATGGTTTTACTCAAATTCCAGGGATTCTCCGCACTATTTTTTAACGCTTCCTCCTGCCATCTCCGCTACAATAAATTTAAATATCCAATATCCAACAATAATCGTATTAACATGAAATTAAATGATAGGCAAATGGTTTTCGATTTGATATTTTATTTATAGGATATCATGGAAGAAGATAGTATTTTACTATATATAAAAATATTATGACCTTCATAAACAATTGTTAGAGGGAAATTGAATGGCGGCAGCCTTGATGAAAGGAAATTCCTATTTATCTAGAAAACTGAGATCCGTGTTAGAATATTCAAAGACACTCCTTATTTTTCCAGGTAAATCGACGACATTTCACGGCAATATCGTAAAATCGGGGGAAAGTTTCAGTTTGTTTGAAAAATCGAGAATAAATATTCCATGAACATTTGAGAATTCATGAATGTTCTAAATTTAACAAGCCAGTAGACAATTTTATCACAAAATTGTGAATTATATTTCCAATAAGTCTCGGTAAAATAAATAAAAAAGACCGGTTGTAGAAAAATTGAAAAAAATTAAGGCGAGAGAGAAAAAGTCGCGAAACTACATTAAATTAATAAATAATCAATGAAATTTCCATAATCTATTTTTTTCCGTGGCAAACCGTTACCAATTGAAAAAAGTGTGACTCAGGAGTGATTCTCCAAATTTCAGAATTAAATGAATTGTAAAAATTTTGTTGAGAAATTTGAACGCCTGAAAAATAAAGAATGAGTTAGTAAAAACGATATCTCCCTCATCTTTATCTAGATAACTCGTGACAATAAAAAAATAATGGAAAAAAAATGATCCAGAAGTTTTCATTCCCATGATCTTCACAATAACAAGGGAAATATATCGGATTGTCTGGTGGAGTTAATCGTGAAGATTAATGTCACCCGAGGTCCGGGTTTATTCAAAACCATATCCAGATAGATAGTGGGTAAAATGGTATACGGTTAATACACATGATAGTGAGGTCCAGAGAGGAAGCGATGAGGAGTGGTAAAATCCAGAGCGAGAAACAAGATTGCCTCAACCCCAGGACAACACTGGACTCAGTTATATTTTCGGAGGAAACGGACGAACGCAATAATTCTCGTTTAACCGTCGCCGTTGGAAAATAACGACAGAATAACGATGAAATAGCGACGAGGCTTCCACGAATAAACTCCCTTCTCTCTTACGTACGACAAATATATGTTTTACCCGACTCGCATAAACGATATTTCTCAATAAAAATATAAATAATACTCAACCCGTTGAATTTGTCGGCAATCGCAATTGTCCGGATTTTAATGGGAATAATCAGCGCAAACTGGGGCTAGATTAATTGTAACTGCACACCGTGACTACCGATTTGCCCAATTAATTCGATTAGTAATTGCTGTAATTGTCTCCGAAGCGCGAGACAAATCGATTTGTATTTTCTGCTCAGCACATGCAGATCGTTTCGACAAAGCAAATGTCTATAAATTCATCTGACAACAATAACGTTAATTAGTTCGATGTCGGGCTTTTCGATTGATTGAATAATTTCATTGATAATGCGTAATCCGTTTCTGCTTTATCGAATCTCATTACGTGCTAGATATATACATCTCCCTATATATTTCTAATATCGTAAAATAACTTATTCTTTGAATTTCTATTTATAACAACCGCACGATTTTGAGAAGATAAATACTACTTTATGGATTTATTCATTATTCGAATGAACGTTTTCGACACTAAATCATTCGTAATATGGACTCGATGTAACGTATAATTTCCCATACACCTTTGATTTCCATTCTCGATCCCATCCGTTTGAGTGGATTGAGTCGTAAGTGGATTTAATTGGGAACCAGGTGTTCAAAAAAAGAAAGATGATTATTTTTTTTTCGGGAACAATTGAAGGTTCCATTGGGGTTAGAATATCTAAACCCGTGATTTATTGATTCAATATCGACAGTACGGCTAATTAAATTTGGAATGTTTCAATAAAAATTTAATTTTTTTCTACACACATATGAAAAATTTACAGTAAAATTCATCACGAGGTTTACTAACTGCACGAACATTATAGCATTTATGTACAATTCTTGCGCGCTTTATGTACATAGAATTATCATATATGGAGGTACATAAAAAAAATTAATTCGATAAGTCAAATCTATTATAATATATATTCAATATAGTCTTCAGGTATGCTTTTTAATTTAATAATCAGCTCAGCTAATGAATTTTAATCGAAAAAAAAAAATAGTTCAATTAATTTTTTTTCAGATTTTATATATACGCATGTTTTTTACATATTTTTATATACATAAAACATAATTTTCATGGACTAAGCTATGTGGTGATAAACGGTGATACTTAATTTACCTTAAATTAGGATTTTTTTTAATGGATCATCGGGTTTTATCACTGGAATGACTAAATGTGAGTGGAAAATCTTACGATCGCCGGCCTCTCGTTGTTTTCTCATTTATCCGGGTGTACGATGATCTTGCACATGTAAAAAGTGGAGAAAGGTAAGTGAAAAAACAGGAAAGAGCGATAGGTTCGCCGAAATAGGGGAATAGAGATAACGCGAAGGCATTGGTCTGAAAAAAGTTGGGCGAAAAAAATAATAAAAAAAGAGGAGGGCTACTTGTATTAGAGCCTGAGGCTTATTCTCGTTCGGGCAGGAAAAGTTCCGACGGTCGTCTACAACACCGTATGCCGCCTCGTTCTTTATTCAAAGTTGTAATAACGTTTGGCAGATGTTTTCTGATAATATATAGTGCGCGTGGCACAACTCTGGGTTGGGCTTTTGTTCCAACTCTTATCGAGTCAATTTAAGTTTGGGCAAAAACTCTGCTGTGAATCCCCCCGCCTCATTCTTACACAAAGTCGAATAAAAGAGATTTTAAGCTGAAAAAATTTACAGATGCATTTGCACACCGTGTGAACATACTCGCTTTCCTGCTTTCTGATAAGCTTCGTGCCAGAGAAAATTCTGAAAAATATAAAGAACCCATAAAATATGACATAAACTCTGGTATAAAACCTCCGCGGGGAAAAAAATTACCAACACTTTGGGTAAACGGTTTTTCGAGGATTTTGCCAGGAATTGTTTTGCCATTTTTCCATGGGAAAATTGTGGATTCATCCCGGTGTGCTTCGTGTTACGTTCGTCCGAACAAGCGCGAGAGACAAACCTAGTGGGAGAAACTGGGGGTGAGTGTAAAAAAAAAAAGAGAGGACGATTTTACTTTATTTCCGCTCACGTACGGAATCCAATCCCAACATGATTTTCCATTTGAAATTGAGCGTACATCAAAAGTCGAGCGTCTCATCCATATCAATCGAATGATAAAGAAAAAAAGAAAAAAGGAAATCATCTCACCTTTATACGGTGAGTACAAGCCAATGCACCGAATGAAATTCGATTCGTTTTGATTTGTTGGCTTTGCCTTTTCCCGTCATTTGTTATTTTGTTTCTATCTCCGTATCGCCATTTGTTACATGTCTCATGTCTGGTTCATTTGAGTCATATCTGAGATCGTCTCCACGATTTTCCAATAGCAAATGAAATACTAATGATGATGAATTCATGACAATGAAATCTTGATAGAGAAAAATATTGCAACGTTTAAAGTGATTGAAAATGATCTATGTAGCAAAATTCAATTTCCTTCCTACTAATATAAATCCGACTCTGCTTCATTAGACACCGATGTATCGTTATGTTAATATCGCGTGTAATTACGATGATTAATTACGTTCCCTACCCGAGGTCATTAACTTAATGGGAATTGAAGCCGGCAGTGAAGGCACGAATGAAGGCTTTTATCTAATAAAACGTTTGTGTGCTCACTGGTGGAAAATCCGAGTCTTCTTCAATAGAAACCGTTCTAGTTATTGAAATTGACTTAATAAAATTGTAGAATTATACTTTGATTTTTTACAGACCAACTACTGAAATCATTACCATATAGAATAATGATAAACTTTCTAGTAATGCTCTGAATCGACTCTTAAATAATCACCGGTGGTTAAAATAGATGGTTGTTTATTACGGAGATTATCTCGGTCACGCGTGTTTTTATTGCAAAATAAATTATCAGAGACATCTCGTGATAATACTATCGAATAATTTATCAATCGAGCTATTAATTATCGGCGAAATTCATGCGATAACAATATGAGGTAGAGAGAAATCTTCATTACCGAATGATGGATTAATCGTGAGTTTTCAAATTATTTACCTTGAGTGCGGACATTTTCACAAACAATTTAACTGTTGATATTCATGAAAATCACTCCTACTGCAACACACAAATAAGTGGATCGACGTGTCAATACCGAATTCGTGTCTCAACATTGTCGTGTAAATATTGTAAATAATGAACTCTTGACAATTACTCATTGATTGTAGGCTGAAGTATTTCTGTAGTCGATAGTGTGTTAATATCTTCCGACCAGCTCAAAATTTACCGGTGTTAACCTCCTCCCTTTTATTTTGATATCATTTTTTATTTAATCGTAACCTCTTCTCTCGTTTTTAAAAGATGCTTTGAAAGACAATTGAATACTGTCTTCCACTGTAGTGTTCAATTAATCTCTCTTTCTTACTCGGAAATTGCAAGAAATAGAAAGAAATTTGTATTTAACATGTTGAGGAGGAGAAATGTCAATTTAAAGACTGTCACCCAGCTCGACGCTTTCCCGAAGGTGCCTGAAAGCTACACGAATAAGTCAGCTGTTGGCGGAACATGTGAGTAAAAAATTACAATTCAATAATTATTCAATAATTTGATAATGAGTGATGTAGAGATATTGGTAATTAAGGATTATAACCCAATGATTTTTTGCAACAGTTTCATTCATAACATTCTGCATCATCTGTTACCTACTAATCTCCGAGACCCGTTACTTCCTGGACGCAAGGCTCTGGTTTAAATTCGAACCAGATACGGACATCGATGCTAAACTGCGAATAAATGTCGACATAACAATAGCAATGACCTGCAGTAAAATAGGAGCCGATATCCTAGACTCAACGAACGAGAATCTCCTAGGATTTGAGCCCCTGTCTGAGGAAGACACCTGGTGGGACTTGTCATCCAATCAGAGATTTCACTTCGACTCCCTAAAACACATGAACTCGTATTTGAGAGAGGAGTATCACGCGATCCACGAACTACTATGGAAATCCCATCAAGTGGCATTTATGAGCGAAATGCCCAAACGGTAATAACTTATAAATCAGCTATTTTTTCATTCTCATTTATTGTTATTGACAATGATATTTGTGGCAGGAGCACTGAGCCTAGTCATCCACCGGATGCCTGCCGCATTTATGGCAGCATAAATGTCAATAAAGTTGCTGGGAATTTTCATATTACTGCCGGCAAGTCTCTCTCACTGCCGAGAGGTCACGTGCATATTTCTGCATTTATGACTAGTCAGGATTATAACTTCACGCATCGGATTAATAAGTTTTCATTTGGTGAAGAAAGTCCTGGAATTGTTCAACCGCTTGATGGCGATGAAAAAGTTGCTGATCAAAGTAAGTTATTCACTCAACACTTTTTTATTGTTGACTCCAATTATGCAAATATAGAAATATTTAAGAATATGCAACTACTTCAGTTATTTTATCGAATTTTCTCTTCGTGCTCATTCCTTATAACATTTTTCATTCAACAGATTGATTGCATGTCGAATCATTTATCAAAATATCACATTGCAATAAAATTGAAAATTTATTATAATATCATTATCATTATACCATCATTACGGATTATTATTCACTGATTAGTGTGTGAGAAGCAAATTATTAAATATAGTGAGTGGTTAAACATGCATAATCTACGATAAAATCCCAAGTAAAATATAATGAAGACTTCTCAAAGATTCTCAGATGTGATTATATTGGCCAATGATATAATAACGCATGATATTTAGGTCGGCAATATTTTCACCGATGATATTTCAGTTGACAAAACGTCTGGAATATCAACATAAAAATATTTTCTAAAAAAAATCATTTCCATACTTTCCAGATATGATGTTGTACCAATACTTCATAGAAGTCGTTCCTACCGATATCCAAACATTATTGAAAAATACTAAAACTTACCAATACAGTGTGAAAGACTACGCAAGACCGATAGACCACCACAAGGGCTCTCACGGAATACCCGGAATATTCTTTAAATACGACACAAGTGCATTAAAAATTAAAGTCACCCAAGAGCGTGACTCTGTGATTCAATTCCTCGTAAAACTATGTGCTATTATCGGGGGAATATTTGTAACCAGTGGATTGATTAATAGTATTGTTCAGACGTGTTATTACGTCATCTCTTGTAAATTTTTTAGAAATAATGAGGTCAAGGACGAGCGGAAAATTGTGCACAATACGATCAGTGGTAAACCAATAACATCCATTGATCTCGTAAATGTTCCAGCTCCTGAGCCAATTGATGTTACATTGAAGCCTCAATAAAATGACTTTATGAATCAGAGAACTCTTTTCATCATTGGGAATAAATTAAACAATCTCTCTACACCCATTCTGCTCCCAATTTCATGATTTTATTAATAAGATTCAAGTGGTTTAATTTTTACACATAATGTACGTATCGTATGAGGCACCGGTGATAGCTGTACACAAACGACTCCAACGATCAGGCGAAAGAACACAATTACAATGTCGAAAGCACTTTTTTAATTAAACGCTCATCTTCTCGTCTCTTCTACTGAATATATTTATTTTACATGTAAATAAGTACCTTAAGAAATTACAAATCAGTTCAAACTGGTTTGTGATACATGCCATGTTAAACACTGATATTTTTTTCAATTTTCCAGCATATTTTATCTCACATTCTAACTTAGCATGGAATTAGCTTCGGGAAAAGTAGAATTTCATCCAACAACTTGACCAAAACTACAAGATAAGATCGAAAAAAGAAGAATTTTGTTCTATTCCCTGAATTGGTTGATTTTCCAATTGCACTGGAGCGACCAATTTTTTCATTTCGCCAATTAATTTCAATCGTTGGGTCTTCGATACTACAGACAATGCATCGTAAAATATCGATAAATATTTATTCAAATTCACTGATGAATTCCCTGCAGGAAAAATGTGCAATGAACGTCCTCTGTACATGAAACTCTTTTCCTGTCTCTGTTTATGCCTTACTATTTCCAATATTTGCAAAATTAACTAAAAATTTGTAAACGCTCATTCATTCTCAAGCACTCATGATAATCACACGAAGCACACGACCATTCATCAATTTTTACATGTCTTAGGTAGGTGCAAAAGCTAAAATAACAATAAGCAAAATTATATTTTCCTCATTTCCCCACTTGCAATGATTCTTGTGAACATCATTCCATTTGATTACGAGAAACTTTTACCATAACTCTTATGGTTTTCTAATAACGAAGAGGTTTTCATGCCACTCTAATAGGCTTCAGCAGGTAATTAACGTAAATACCCGCACGTAAACAATGGCACAAAACGATGTTCATGATCTGAACGCCGATTTGATTTGCTCTCCTCCAGCTTGGTATGTCTCCCATTATTTCTCAGTTGTTCTCTTCCACTTAATTATACAAAAATAAATTATAATAATAACGATCGTGTATCTCTTGACTTATTCATGTACAACGAATACTATGTTATACAGGTATATAAATATAACTTTTTTTTCAAGTATATGTATCTCCTTACACTATTTCCGTACTTTATAGAGTGAAATTTAAAAAATGCTTTTGTTTATACTCTCTAGCACATAATGGCACACCTAGGAGAGGCAATAGACGGACTTACTTTCATAGTTTAGGCCCCAGCGATTTCAAACGCACCGAAAAATTTCCTCAATTCAATGAATTCTCTGTAATTATTCCTCAATTCCAAAAATAGTTGGTCAATCGTTGAAATTTGTCTTGTACTTTTTACTCTCATTTGACTTAGTAAGTCAATTGAAATATTTTATGGACAGATATCTTTGCGTGGCAGTTATTCAATTCATCAGGAAATGTTGTGATAGATAAAATTGTGGGGAAATAAAGGCACTCCTCTGAATTTTATCGGGAAGACTGGTGGAGGGCAAAGGAAATTCAACGGTGTATCAAGTCGCTGTATCATTTCTTCTTCGTACGCAAATAATCGTGTGGGCAAAGGCACTCCCCTGGGCAACACTCGTTCTTAGTCCCACCATGAAAGTTTGCTGGTGTACGCTTTGGCTGCAGCAAATTACCTATTATTATAAGTCGGAATGAGGATAAAAAAATTATTTATATTTATTTGTAGTAAGTGGTAGTAAGGGTGATGGTTGTTAGACGCATCATGACACGTTATCCTCACCTATGTAGTGTGGAGTGCTGAGTTAATTAAAGACACGTAAAGACACGAGTGGAAACGACTAGGAGAGCTGTGAGTGCCGCAAGCGGTCGTGTCGTTGAGGAACCTCCTTTCACTGTATTGTAAGAATCAGTATTATTTTAATTATCCATTCTCAGTATTTTTTCACTCTTGCGTCATTTGATTTATTATTTTTTTAAGAATAAACTCGGAAAATTATTTCAATGTTCTTACCATTCTGTGCCTCATTTGCTACGATTTCTGAAAGAAAAATGAATCATTTTTAGCTTTCAATGTCAATTTTTTGTGTTTTTTCTTTGTTTTTGTTAAGTAATCTATCATTTCTGTACTGACCAGAAACTCGTTGCAAAAATGCAAGAGATAATACTTCTGGTAAAAAAATTCTACCTTTTCTGAATTCATGAATTGAGGATTGCGGTGACCATCCAAAGTCGTTCCTGGCAAGGAGTCTCACTTGGTAGACACCTGGCAGAAGATTCTCGAAATGACTTTCAACGACAAAATTGTTTTCCTGTCCGTCTGTCACCTGAGGTTGCACCTCGATCCAATTTTCATTTCCCTTCATACGATACTCGAGCTGAAATATCATAAATCGAATAGTTCATTATAATCATTAGTTCGTTGAATCACAATGATTGAATTTTTTTTGCAGATCTAAATATACATGGTAAAAATCATGTAATTCTATTTTTACTCACCTTGTACTCAGTAATTGGTGAAAAACTTTGTACCCGCCACCTAATCATGTGGGCCTTCTGATTATGGCGATCTTTACCGTGGTTCAACACAGGCTTGGCAGGTGCACCGGTAAGAACAACGTCTTTTGAAGCTTCACCCAGATCATTGGTCGCTTTGCACTTGTAGGTGCCAAGGTCTTCCTTGCGGGTATGTTCGATGATGAGTTTATGCAGGGTCTTACCATTTTTTTCATGGTGGTGAAGTTTTTCGTCCTGGGGCACAACATTTCCATTCTTAAACCATTTGACATGGGCGTGTGGATGGGCATCGACTTCGCAACTTATTTCCGAAATTATACCCAGACCAGTGTGGAAGGTATCGTGTTCGACTTCGATGAATGGTGAATCTGCAGGGATACAACATCGATTCAACATAAATCCACTATAATATAATCGTATATTACCATATCAAAAACATAAATCATGTTTCTAAAGCTTGTGGTTTACGGGAATGTTTCTCTATGTTTATAAATATTGATAATAAAAGATAATAATTAAACTCACAATTTACAACGACTTCAATAGCCTCATGCTCTGGGCTAGCAGATCTATCCTCAGCAAGACATTGATATACCCCAGCGTGATGCCTCGTTGCATGTTCAATGAATACATAATTATTCTTACTGGAAACTCCCGGAACCTCAGCAATTGCCTTCCCCTACAAATAGACAGCATTAGCTCCAGCCCATTGAATCTGCGATTGAACCTATTCTCCAATGTCAAAAACAATGGATTACCTTGAGTGACCACTTGATTTCGGGCCTTGATTTGCTCTGACTATCGCAACCGAACTCGACACCCATGCTTTCATTGACAGTGATTTTTTTCGCTGGCCACACGGCCAAGGAACGATGCTCAGTCAGCTGAGTAGGCTGGTTAACAACTTGGAGACTGTGATGAATCTCCAAGGGAGGCTGCATGACAACCGTGCACGTCCAGTCATTTGATGTATCATATTCTGTCACGTCATTCACGATGAGCGAGTTGTTTGCTGCCAGAAAGATTCGGTCTGGTTCTGTTGTCATAACTGCTCCGCCGAAATAAAGAGGCTCACTGCCTTTTGACCATTGTATCACCTCGTTATCTAATAAGTCCAATGAAAAACAAATCCAGTATTCGTAATTATTGCCTTATGTGAACTTAAATGAAGGTTCAACAGATTTTTTTTTAATTAAATGCAACTAGTAAGAAGAATTTTATGAGAAAAGGGAAAAGGGAGCCAAAGAATAATTATAGCTGTTCTTCATCTCAGTAAGTCACAAATAATTGATTAATCATCCAGTGATGTACTCCCCCAGCGCTACATATCAAACAGAAAAGCCCCAGTCATTGACCCTAAACGTGGAAAGGATCAATCAATACAGGACAATGAAAATCCCCCTGTCAACGAGTGACTCAGCACTAACCAGGACAGCTCGATTCCATCCGAGTCCATCCGCGAGCCAATAGAATAGATAGTGAAATTACATACCTCCATTCTTAACGACACATGGAAATTCAACGGTGGTTCCTACTGACACCCTCACGCGTAGGGGTCTCGTCAGGATCACCGGGGGTGATACTGAGGTCCCTCTTCCGATATCTGAATCTTCCAAATCTTCCGGATCTTCATAGTCCTTCCCTCCATCTCCAGGATAATCATCATCCTTCTGATCGGAACTCTGCGGCCTGCATAAAACTAAAACATCAAAAGCAAAACACTTCTTATTTTCACCGTAAATTTACTCAGATTTCATTGATTACCAGATCATTTGAACCGAAAGAAACAATAAAATAATGAAAAAATTTCTAGATTTCAGTCCTAAAAATTAAGACGCGGACAATGACTAGTCTCCCCGATTGAAAAAGTCTTTTAAATGATTATAAGAATGAAATGACATGAATGGTATGAAATTATGAATTCAAATCACGAGTGGAGAATGTGAAATTCATTTCACGATCTCATTGGATTCCAACTTCCTGATTCATAGGGAAGCTATTCAATATTGACAGCAATGACTTCATGACATGTGAAAACCTCTTAGGGAAGAATAATGCATCAGTCGTGATTGCCTCCTTTTCCAAAGGGTGAAATTGGTGTTCAGAAGGTGGGTGAGGCACCTGGGTCTGAGGTTTTAAAGGTCTGCGTGACGTTTGCCCGTTAACCTCGTCAGTATCATAGTATCAACCTTCAACTGATGTTAGAACACACCCGACATCGAGCCACGCCTTCATTAATATAAATGGGTCAGGCTAAGACAAACACTTGTCATTTTCAGACTCTTTGGCTACTGATTTCATTTTTCCCATTAATTTAATCAGCCCCATTGACACCAATTTGTTCGCCTTCCTGGTTACCAGGATGGAAGGAAAACTGGGGTGGCAGAATGTAGGGTGGAATGGGCATAATAGAATGGGGTTGAAACGGAATGAATGGCTGTGTTGGATGCTGAAGATATTTTTCCTTCAGGGGCTAGATTCTTTCGAGGGGGGAAAACGTGATGTTGTGCGTCGAGGGGAATCTGGGTTAATGCATGATCGCCATAGCATGCTGACATCCCTGGAGTTTACCCTAGTATTATCATGGTTGTTCGAATTTTTTTTCTCGATTCTCTCCCATAGCAACCGACTGTCTGTGTGGTATCCAACTCCAGGCGCCACTTATGTCTGTTCACCCTCCCACGCACTCAATGTACAGGAATTTTCTCGCCTCACCAACGTGTTTTCAGTTTTCACGGGAAATCATCGATTGTTGGATATTATAATTAGCTCCAACTAATATTGAGGTCAGTATTTTCTGAGGTGTCATCTGAATTAGAGATTAGGAAAACAACGAGAAAAATGGCATGAAGTACACCTTGAAGATTAATCGTTTCAATAAATTTTTATTTATCCACGTGGGGAAGAAAATGGGTTGGATATTATATTTAATAATATGAAAACTTTCACGACTCAGATTGACATGAATAAAAACATTATTCATAGGATTTTCCACTCGGGATGTTTTACACGAGTAATTGGATTTTCCGATGAAGTTCTAGTAAGAGGAAAATTCCGAGTTCCCCAACCCAGCGTAATCATAGAGATATTAATTATTAACTGTGTATTAAACGTGCAAATTCATGCAAATTTTATTGCGAAGTTTCCTTACGTGTTTCACTGTTGTCAACAAATCCAGAAATTTCATGAAATTACAGCTGTTACTGAGTGCTTGAGGGGCGTCAATGAAATTTACGGTAATCTCCCTGAGGCAGAGAATGATTGAGAATTAAATGAATCATCGGTTGCAATATGATGCTGATCACCGAGAAGCCAGTTGAATGGGCACGAAGGGAAAATTTATAAATATGTATGAAGGTGTGGCAATCGATTCGCGGAATTCCCCCGAAGTTGGTCACTTTTTTTTTTGTAAATTTAGGGCAATTTATTCAGTGAACGAGGCTGTTGGAGCAATAAAAATTACCAACAATACCTCGAGAAAATGAATGGAGTGTTTCCTCTGGGTATCGGAATTCATAAATCTCTGAGGGATCTATTACTCAAAGTGCAGTCTATGCGAGGAAAATTGACGGTAGAATCGTCACTCATCATTATTCTCTCACATCCGTGACCCACCCTTTGCTGCTAGATAATCATTTAGATTGTTAATAATTTCAATCGTCTATTTTTATAAAACGTCCCTAAACAAACCATTTTTTTTTAATAAAATTGCAGTACGGAATTTCTAATGCGAATGAAAATCGAATTTGTCCCAGTAAAATTCATGAAATTAATTAGTAAAAATCTGATCAATAAAATTGTCAAATGGTTTCCATATCTTTCTAAACTAGGATAAAAGAGGATAATTCTGGATTGTTCATAAGATCGATTCTCTCTGGGGAAACCACCGTACTAATACGCAGAAGAAGAGCTACATATTTCACTAGCTGACGTGTCACTCACGCCGCAATTTGTTGCTGGGAAAAGGTCGATGGTGTCATCAGTAGAGGTCTTTCAATTTATCTTGTAAAATGACAGATCACCCGGAGAAAAATATTATTTCAGATGGAACGAGCGTCAAACAGTCAATAGCGGTCGATCTACCGTTGCGATTATTTTTAGCCATATTTTTAGCAGTGATCCAAGTCAAGCCATTATTCGGTGTTTTGACAACCAATCATTTATAAATTATAACAATTATTCGACGCAGAATATAAGAATCATAGAGAAAAATCTTCTACAATGAAAAAATACACGTTTCTTTAATTTTGAAATCCTTTTCTGACCAAATGTTTGCACCAATGCGATTTCAGCATAAACCAATCTCAAGATGTTTGCGAATGTTCGAAATAACGGAGGCGAGTAACTCTGCTAACGGTTAATTCTATTTTGAAATTAGGTGCACGGATTTTGGTGGCAGTTTGGTGAGGAATGATGTCACTGCCCAGGATGACGGCACTGCTAAAAGAAACGGTTGATTGCAAATAAGGTCTCGCATTTCCAAAAATGAATATGCAGATAAAACCACGTCATCTCTAATTCAGTTAATTCATAACAATGATCACGTCCCCGAATAATACGAGTAGTCTCAAGATTTGGCAGTGGCACGTGTAAAAATATAATTTCACGTTTTTTTTTTAATTGATTGAATGAATGAATTGAATTGAGTTGCTGAATGAATCGATGTACCGGGCTTCCGAAAAAGATCTACCTTTTATGGACATTGAGTGCTGGTCTGGAGACAAGTCAATTACAATGACAGAAGCACTCACTCAGACGCGAAAGATCGATGATAAAAAGAGGAGGAAATAAGAATGGCCGATCGTCAATCTTCTCAAAGTAACCCCCGCAGTCCATCGAATAATGCCTTGTATTTCTAAAACGTATGACGAATACAAGAGTTAAATGACGTCAGACATTCTCTCACGAGTTTAATTATTATTATTGGTCAGCGGCTCTTGTACCCATTCGTCCATTGCTGCTTACCAATGTGCATTCAACAAAATGTTTCCCCTCATCATTACATTATGTTGTTTGCGCAAGTGTTGGCGAGTGTGTGCCCCATCAATTGGTGTGCGTATGCATCGTAATTTCCATCCAAATGACAATGTAACGAGGAGTAAGTGATGGTTAAATTAAAACAGGGAGGCGCATACAAATCCTATTAATTCGTTAATAACATCGATGAAATTTGATGATTGCAATTATCAGGAATCGGTGGGCATGGGAATGTGGAGGCTGGAAACCTATTGAATTGATCGAATAGAGCGCATCAGGAATTTCATCATTCTTCAGGTTTTCCAACGGTACGGGAATAAACGCTGCAGAGAAAATGGCGAAAGCCATGACTACTTGGACACCAGCCAAATGGCAAGAGCATCATGGACATTAGAACACAGGTGCTGTTTTTTTCATTTAAAATCCTCACTAAGATATTGAAGCTAACGTACGTTGGATTACTTAGAAAAGCAAACTCGAATTTATCTCTGAATATAGTTTTATTATCTCCATTTTATTTCTTAATGCGGAATTAGAACCGGCTCTGTTGTCGATGCGAAGTCGAGATGTGAAAACCCATCAACCAAGCACCATCTAGCTCGATGTCAGTGCCAAAGAGAACAATGAACTCGAGGATTTTGTAACACAACCAAGAATCGTTCATACTGCAAACTCGTCACGCGTTCGTTTAACCCTGCACACGTTTCTTGCCACTAATACTTTCCCTTGTTTGGATACATACGGGTTTCTCCAAGGGAAAGGGGAGTTTATGCATTTTTCGGGGAAGGGGCACTCTCTTGATGCGCGAGAATTCCAGCGCGTTTCGTTAATTTGGAGGAATTAAATTTAATGCTCAAGCCAACTCCAGAGGGGAGGAGATATTCTCCGTTTTTCGTGTTGATTCATTAAATTGGATGAATCATTCTAATCTGTTGGTCATTCGGAAATTATTTGATGCACAGGAGAACAAGAAATAAATTGTCGAGAATGTGTCCTACATCACCTGTTAGAAATTAAGGGGAAAGTGTAAAATTCTATAGTTCTTTGGGGAGAATTAAATGCCATGTAGATAAAATATTATGGAATTTATTGAAATTCCTGCAAAACTGTCACTTGATAATTTCCAAGGTCTCCACCGATAATCCACTAGTGTTGTTAGAACAAATCATAAAACATTTTTATCACCATGTTGATCATGTTCTCAGAGCATTTTGTCATAAAGTGAACCGGCAATGCGGAGATAAAGTCCTCATAGAGACTTGTCCCTGAAATTCCTGACTCGTAACACCCACCGATAATTGATATTCCTTTCCTCTTCCATTGATCGAATCATGAGGAATACAAGAATAAAGTTGGTATGTAAGTATTGTATATCGTCACGCCTGGATTATCATCAAGTGGTGAGTCACAATGTGCCACATGACAACGAATTCTCCTTGAAGAGGAGTTTTATGCAGCCAATGAGAATAGAAAAGAAAGCCAGAGGGATAGCAGGGTGGTCGTGAATAGAATTAATTGATGACGCTATAAAAAAAAATTACTTGATATTTTCAGAGATCTGTTGTGCTCTAGCTGTAAACGCCCTGTGTATACACATATACATCTAAAAATAGATATGAGTGTAGCTGGTTCATTAGCACTTACACAATATTTATCAAAAGGTAAGGAAAACCGTCTCACCTTTACACCATTGATCATCCGATTTTTCCATTTTCGACAGTT